GAGAAAGAGGGAGCATGAATGCCAGCACGTAGCTGTTGGCGCTGAGCCCTGCACGTGTCACCACTGTCAAACCTCTCCTCTTCCTCCTCCAAGGGTCATCGGAGATGCGAATCGCCGGTGAGGTTGGCAGGTGAAGAGGCTTAAAGAAGGCACGTGTGGGTGGGGGTGTGGTGGAGAGAGGAGAGAAGGGGATTGGGATACAGGCCATGGTTTTTTTGGTAGCGGTGACGGAGTGGATATATATATATATATATGTAATGATAAATAAAAAATAACGATTCTAAAAATTTATTTTTTTGGATTTTTTTTCTAAAATCTTGTTTGGAATGATGTATGAAAAATGAATTTTGATTTTGAGATATAATTAAAAAAATAAAAATAATTTAAAATAAAAATGAATTAGCTTAGAAGCACGTATAAAAAAAAAATGACTTAATGAAATTCTAAAAAGGTAATATAAATAAATTGTTTAAAAATTTACTATTAATTAAAGCAAATTTTAGGATTTGATTTTGTAATGAGCTTATTTAAGTAAAGAGTTATTTATAATGAAATATATTTATATTTTTTTTAAGTTAAAAGTAAAATAATGAGCATATTTTAAGTTAATTTATAATGAAATATATTTATATTTTTTAAGTTAAAAGTAAAAAAAATTAATAAATTTTTAAAAGCTATATCAAATATAATCTAATAAGATATGATTGGGATTAGTTCATGTTCTTAATATTTAATTTGTGTTGGTACGTTCTGCATATATTATATATGCATTTAAATATTATAATCATAATTTTAAATTCTAAATAGTATAGTTTAATTAGTTAGGTGTTAAATTTATTTTTTAAAAATTATTATTTTGAATTCTATAAATTTTAATGTTACTGAAAACGTATATAATCATTAATTTTAAAGTTTATAAAATTAGTTAAGATATTTATAAGTTAATCCGGACATCTACATTAATCTATATATATATTTCTGTATTTTCTTTTATCATTTATTATTTTCTCATTATTGTTGTTGTACATATTTTGATATATTAGAAATAAATTAAATTTATGAAAATACTTGAAAGAATAATTAATTATTTCCATCATTATAATATCCTGGTTGGGAGAATTGAAATCAAATGTTATAATTTTTAGATAAAATTGGAAACTGAGGATAAAATATAAGAATAAATTTAGCTAATTTCCAAGTAAAAGAAGAAAAAACTATATGAATTTAGGATGATAAAATCAATGGAATGTAATTGATGGGAAATTAATTATTTTTTCTAAACACAAATGTCGTCACAATTAGCTAGGGAACTCATGTTTTTCATCTATCCACTCGACTATGTTTCACCCTCCAATATTTTTGTCAATAACATGCAAAAATCTACATAATTATATTTAATATTAAAAAATAAAAAATAAAATTGAACAAATAGACTTAATAATTTTTTAAAATATATTTTTTTTCGATAAAAATAATGATTTTCTGATTAATAATTTGTGATAATACAAAGCTGGTCTTTCCTACAGGTTCAAAGTCAGACTGTGAATGAAGCTGCAGGCTGTGCTAATGAGCAAACACTTTCCTTAGATTCAAAGAAACCATTTAACTTACCAATATAACCCTCTTCTAGCACTAAAAATGTGTTTGAAAATGTAATAATGGTTATGATTTAAAATGTTTTTTATTTATAAATATATTAAAATAATATTTTATTTATTTATTTTAAAAATTATATTTTTAACATCAATAAGATTTCAAAAAAAAATAATAATAAATTAGGCATGCACACGAAATAAAATCTGAAAAGACAATTTCTAGTTCAACATTGTCCGCACCATTACCAGCCACAGCTTGATCACCATAATTCTAAAAGTAATTATCATGGTTGCAATCCCATTGCTGTTCTTTCTAACTTGCCAACCGGATGACCCGAAACGACACACGATGGTCAATTCCACCAGCATTTACCTTGATAACAAGAATAGTTATTCTCATAACTACACTGATATTGCCTACAGTACATACAAACATCTCCAAAACAAAAACACAACGCAATCCTCGTTCAAAAAAGAAGATCCCCGAGTAATGCACTGGCCGCAACATTCAAATCTGAAACTGCTACTGAAATCTTGCGAGGTGAATACAGTTTATAAGAGGTATATGCAGAAAGATTAATATAATTCATTGCTAGGCTGTATCACAAGGACGTTGACAGCAATATCGGCAAGGAGCAAGGTTCTGTGGGAAAAACAAGAACCAAAAGGAGCTTCCCTCTAACAACGTGATTGGAGACTATAGAACTCCACGATAGCTGGCAACCAGCACAGCTGACCATGGCTTTTGGCCATTCTACCACTGGTTTCCCAACTGTGAGAGAGATAATAATTCACAAACAAGGTGGAAACTGAAGGATTATAATTACTTTATAGCAGGGTAAAAAACCCCTTAAAAGAGGATTAAAAAAAAAAATCACAGGTTGCGTAAATATGAGAACGCGTCTGAGCATCCTAGGATGGGTCATGCATCCATTTATCTAGCAATTCCCAACTATGGAAGGAACAATAATTCACCGACAATTCAAAGCCAAAGGATTACAATTACTCTAGAGCAGGAAAAAACTTCGGAGGATTAAAACATTAACATGACTGATGCATACATATGAGAAGCCACCTGATAATCCTAGGATGCATCATGCATCTATACTGAATATTCAGTTAAGCCTCTAATTTTGGTTTGCTGAGTTATTGAAGATCTTCATGGCATCCACTGCCAGAATCAAAATTGTATTTTTCACAACCATCAGACCAAGGAGCACAACGTCTAGAATGTCATAAAGCACAGCATGAATTCTATGCTTGCGTTTGAGCACACAATTAAGAAGAAAATGAACAATAAGATTTATCATTGATAATGGCTATAAAATAAATCCATAAAAGTACGGGACTTTCCATCTCCATTTTCACGCAACAATCAGTCACATTTGCACAGGTCAAACTACATTCAGCTATATCCATAATAACTATGTAACGATTCAGCATCCAGTTAAAACACTTCCAATTGAAGTCCTATCTAATATTAATACTAAGCTATTAACCTCACCAAAAACATATTTGAACACAGAGCTAAGTAGATTGAGAGCTTACTGCCATTACAAAATCTCTATATTTTCAATGTCCCATATCATCATCAACATCAAACGCAACCAGTAAGTCTTTCATATCCCTCTCCGTGGCACTCAACATGTCAAAGTGCCTGGCTAGCCCTTCCCCCATTTCATTTGTACCATGTGATTCCCATTGTCCAACAAGCCACACCTCCTCTCTAATACAATTCTCATTCTCCGAATCCTTAAGCCAATAAAGCACATTCTCCGGGTTCCTGATCCAACTCACACACTCTTATGCGAATTCAAATTCGCCAACTCAAACACCTGATCCTTTCTCATAAACAAATTCCCTCTAGATAATCCAGGCCCCTTCACTCTACCTCTCGAAATCACCATACTACACAATCCATTAAAGAAGTGTGCTAACATATCATCAACAGGCAAAAAACTTTCAAGAAAAGGCAAGCATAACAACTTGAAATAACGATGATTCAAATTAAGAACCAATGGGTCATCAAGTCGGATTGTTTCCCTTGTCAACAACCCGATTTCCAAAGCCACTCGATACGTAACATGGATATCGCCATTACTACCAAGTACACCGTTCATCATCATCATAAAACCGCCATCAGATGTCGGTGGGAGTATAGATTACATAACTTGAGCTCGAGAGATTTGAGATTTGTAAAATCTTTTCTGATTCTGGGGATGGCAGTTCGAGGAGTGTGGAGGTGTTCTCGCCAGCTAATGGGTATCTGTCGAAGACTGTTTCGGTTTTGGAAACGAGGGAAAGGAAGTGTTTTGAGACAGAGGAGCAGCGGATGAGGGTCTTGGGGTCATCTTGAAAGTTTGACAAGATTTTGAGGGCTAAGTCATCTGGGAGTTTCTTTAATTTGTCTGATAATCTTTCAGATCTTCTTACAGGGATATTAAGGTTGTCGCCTTGCCTGCCCGATTTGGATTTTCCCATTTGCTTGGAGCTGAGAGTACCGAGGTTTCCGGCTGGGCAAATAGGGTTGCCCGGAGGATTTTAGAAATTTTACAAAATCAGAGAAGATTAAATTTAAATTTTTGTAGCTTGATATAAATGAAGTTGATTTGGAAAAGACAAAAGATTTGATGAATACAAATGAAATATAAAAAATAATTGATAAAATTATAATTTGATTAAAAAATAATTTTAAGGTAATATTTTATTTTTAAATATTAATATATTAAATTAATTTAAAATAATTTGACTTAATCTTTAATTTTATAGAAAATAAATTAAAACTTTTTTAAAATTCAATTCTAATTAATTTAACATTAAATAATAAAATTAAAAAAATAACATATCAAACTTACGTTTTAGATAATTATTGACACAAGTTCAACTGAGAAATTAAATTAAATTAAAATTAATTATAAAATTTACACCGTTATATCTGAGAAATTAAATTAAAATTAAAATTAATTATAAAACTTAAAAAATAAAATTAAAAATATAAATTAATTCAACAATGACACAAAAAATATATGAACCAACTAAGATTAACCCTCACACCTATAATTTGAATCATAAAACCATAAAATTTTATGGCAAATAAATGAAACAAATTATAGAGTTCTATAAACTTATAATAAAAAACAAAAAAACAAAATACAGTTCAGTGAATCAATGTTTTGTGAAGAGATAAAGGTGAATTCAACTGCCTTTTTTAGTTTTTTTTAATAAAAAAAAATAGAATACATCATAGTTATCAGACTCACACAAGGCAAGTGATAAACCTTCAGTTGAAAACAAAAACTGCTGTAAATACTTTTTTTTTCCCCTCAATTTTTCAAGCTCCCCCCTAAAAAAATCTTGAAAAAGAATAAATATGAATGATGAACTTCCAATGACAAATAATAAACTTTTTCTACTGTCAAGACTGTAGTTTCTATACATGAGAATAACAGGTTAAGTTTGGGGTTTTTTTTTTTTTTTCCTAGTTGCAAAGGAAAAAACACGAGGTGGCCATGCATACAAATGGAGAAGAATCCTCCTTAGGTAAATGTACACAAGCGCTTGGATGACGATCGGGAAGAACCAATTATAACTGAACACATACACTGCAATGAGAAGCCCTGCTTGCTCTTACTTTTCTCTCCTGATTCTTCCCTTCAATTCAAACAGGAATGAGAAGCAGCAGCAATCATGCCAGGAACATGGATCATGCTTCCACAAGCAATCCTGGAGGAGAAAGTGGTGGAACAGCTGCTTCATGATATACCGTAGTAGTTTCTAAACCCAAAACCTTCCTAGCTGTTGCTTGACTCTCTCTACTTTTGATGGTCTTTCTTGACTGCATTGATTCGGAGGCAACTGTTCTTGACGAGTTACTACTATCGACAGATGCTAGAAACTTGTCTCGTGAAAGTGTTGTTGGGGCAGATTGAATAACAGAGCTGAAGACACCCGACTCTCTTAAGCCCTGAATTATGGCCTGAAATATACAAGCAGCAATCATAAATCAATAAGGAAATCACCAAGCACACACTTCAGATGCATTTGACCTTGGGCCTAGAGATTTTTCACATCTTGATAGCAAGGATCAGCTAGTTGATTGCACACATCATAATTTTTTTATCTCGGTCTGTACAGGATAATTTCCACCGTCTTAATTCTTAAGCTATGAATTCCATTTGATCTGTTAATTTTAATTAGCAATGAACAATTAGCTATGAATTCCATTCAGATTAAGTTACTAAGCCTTGATCTTAGTAAGCCCTCATGTCAGGATCACAAAGGGCGTGTTACCATGTAAAATCCTAATGCTTTCTCCTTCCTACTCATTCTTGTGTTTTGGTTATTAGCTCTCCCTTAATTTATAGATGGACAGTTGGGGGAAAAAAACGAACTATATTTGGTTGTATCTTTGTCTTTTTACTTTGTGAAGATGTCTTAGTCTTGCTTACCATAGGAGAATATATGCGAGTTAAAATGCTCTTCCTCAGGAGCTTCAATTTCAAGTCTTTGTCACCCCATACGACATGTTCACGATACCTAAAATGGGCATAAAACACCTTCAAGTATTGTTATGTTTCCAGAAACATGTGAATGCCAGCATTCCTCACAGAAATAAGAAAAGCAAGTTTCTTACCAGTTTCGCATTTCCTCCTCGGTTGCAGTTGATGCAATTATGAATGCCTGCAATAACGTTCACTTGATAAGATGAAGGTTAGAAAGAAAAAAATGGAACTCAAAACAAAGTAAATTTCTTGAAAACAATGTTTTAGTTATAAGCTTAAATCCCTGTATTCTTCCATCAACTTGAGCTGTAAGGAAATGAAATAAACAAAAGTTATGAGAAAATCTGTAAAACAAAGAAAATCTGTATTCTTCTTATCTCTTGTTCATAAGAAGTGTCATTACCAGAACCCTAACCAAGAAGCAGTTATCTAGGGCTTAATTCCCAGGTTCAACTAAGAATCAAGAGTTATGAGAAAATCTGTAAAACAAAAGGCACCTCCACCATCTGCATTCCCTTAGCGAACTGGTACTATGATACAAACACCTGATTAATGGAACTCGGATCTTATTTCTAGGAAACAGACTGACTTTCAGTTTTTGCACTGTGCACTGACATCATAAGCGGTAAACCACATGCCTCCTATATCTCCAGAATGCAGCAGGGAAACCCTTCTCAAGGATATCATTATTAGTCAACAATGCATAGTGGCCACCACTAGGTATTGGCTCTAGCATAATGCAACTTGGCCACCCAGTCAATGCTATATACCAATCCAACTTGATCAGCCACTAACTCGTTTTGTAAGCCACAAAGAATGAAGAAGTAGCTGCCTGGCATCACCACTATAAAAAACATCATTACTTGAGTCATGTATCATTGTCAGCCATTTTTATGTATTGTCCCTGTATGCTACACTGCTATTATGCACATAGGGATATAGGGCTAAGAAACGCACCCACTCAGGCATTTCTCAATCATATTTACTTAGTAAACATGAGTTTTGAAACAAAGAGCAAAAAAAAAAAAGGATCCAGAACACAATTATCCTAACATGTTCCAAAGGTCAACGTTCAAAATGATTTCTCTTTGGAAATTTGACTCTTCAAAGTTAAATATAAAAGGCACCATGTTCTAAATGAACAAACAAGTCTACTTTGTGTCCCCTGTGCAGACGTGCTCAAATTGGAGACTGTAATTTTTATGTTTATATTCTTACCGCTACTTGTCAAGAAAAGGCAGCAGTAGAAATCAGTGAATGAGATAAATATTAAGAGAAAGAATTAAACTCACAGATCTGTCAAAATCCAACATAAAGCATCTTTTGACATCCTCCTTTGTAGGCTTGCAGCCGCACCGATCACGTCTAGAAGTCAAATCAGAAAATTTGGAATACGTGTAATGTAGAACAGCAGCCTCTTCCAATTTCACCTCACTGACAATTTGGATACCAGATAAAATGTCTTTGTCAGAAAGCAAAGATAATGTTCATGTCACTATAATTGTCAATTAAGGACCAGCAGTGCCATACAAATTTTCAAGAGCTCATTTTGAAGAAAATAGCATTAGCACAAGTGGTAAATCAATAAACAAAAGGTGAAATTTAACAAATTTAAAAATAATGCTACCGCTGACAATTGCTGATGTATATCTATACATGCAAAAAGACATGTAGCCCACAAAAATGAAGAATCTATGCTAAACATATAAACATGCTTGCTGTACTTTGGGGTTTTCATATAGTTGTGCCATCTGTGTGCGCCATTAGGACGTAGATGATCTTGAACTCGAGCAGCTGACTTCCCATTTCCATAAGTTAAGAAATAATTTGGATTGCCACGAGTAGATTCCTTGTACATTCCAAAGTACGTATCCTTTGGGAGATGGTCATAATTCTTCTTGAACATCGACACCTGTTAGCATAGATAAATGAATACATGGGATAGACTACACATTTATCTTCAAAGACAGGCAAAAATTGATAATAAACAGCATTGTTCAAAACAATAAAAAAACTAAATCTAGAAAATTATGTTTAGAAACTAGAAAAATGCAGGACACACCATTGCTTCAAAGTTTCTTAAAAAAATGTAAGTCATCCACAATCATTTAATCCCTTTCTAACTCTTAAAATTAAATCATCAGATGCAGCTTCTCTCAAGTGTCATGCATGAAGCAGGTTAAACATAAGCCCTGAAAAGAAATACTTCTAACTTTAACCATGTATAATGATCAAATACATTGCAATTGATATAAAATTTTCAAGCACAAGGAATTTAACCAGACCAGAGCACCGATATACAGCATACAATAAATTCATCATGTTCCAAGACAAAGTGCCACACTCAATGGATAGTTTGAGAAATTTACCTCACCAAAAGGATCCTCAATATCATCTCGTTCAATACTGCTCTCCTAACAAATAAAGAATCAGCATTATTTAGAAGGAAAAAAATAGTTGAGAAATATTACTATGATTGACACTTTTACATTTACAAATCCCCTAATTGCATTATCACAAAAAAGACATTCCACACAATGTGACTCACATAATTTGGAAACACAACCATATCCACATTTCCAGGAACATCGAGCAGCAACTGCCTCAAAGAATATTCACGGGCACCAGCAGGGTGAATCAGTTCATCGGTGTCAAGATGAAGTATCCAGTCCATTCCTGCATCCTAAAATTTTGTTGTTTGTGAGAACAGAGAATGTTCAAAACGATTTGTTATTACTAGAAATAGGAAGAGCACTGTTATAGATGGGTAAATAGTGGTGCATAATGCATACCCTTGCCATGACAATTGCCATTTCCATGTTGAGAGACTGCTTCACAAAAAGCTCATAGTTGCATGGTTTGTAAAAGAAATTGGACAGCCATGTCTCATTCCATATCCGACTGATTAAGAAAAAAGGAGCATAAAAACAATAGAGTTAAGAGGAGGCATAAAACAGAAACCATATTGAAAGTTTTCAAGATGATTAAGTTGTGAATACAGGAACAAAATGCTTGGTTCAAACAGAATAAACACTCACAAAGAGTTAGACATAGAATCATCAACATTAAATAGCTTTAAGCAAAAGTGAATCTTTTTTCTTTCTTCATTTGAAATAATGGTAATACAAAGAAAATATACTCAGTTTGCTTCAAAATGAAACAGAAATGAATTAAACATGAACATATGAAAACTAGCCAACCTTTTAGCCTGTTGCTCCTCTAGCTCTGTTGTTCTATAAATCAATTTTACTCCCTGGGAAATCAACAAAATAGCTCATACTGAATAATTCAGAAGAAAAAACATAAGAAAATAAAACCAGAGGAACTCCAACATAAGAATAAAAGAAACAATAACAAATTGGTAAAATCAAAGGTCGTGTGAACTCACAGGAATGGACTCCAAAACTTTAGACGTGTTAGGAGACGCTGCATTCCCTTCCACGAAAAGGAAAAAGGTTGTCACCCCCATAACCTTATGATAAAACATCCACGGTAGAATCTGATCCAAACCAGCTGAAGTACTTGTTGTAATACATATCTGCACATCAAGTAACAAACCAACAAAATGTCAGATAAAATAATTCAACTTACAGACAATTGATTCACTTGATTAAGTCTTTCATTTCTCAAAATCAAAATAGCATTAACATTTTAAAGAACATTCAAAGCTTAAAACTTTCCCTCATTTCCTTCCCTCATTAACCAAAGTAGCAAACAGATCACAGATAAATTAACTCATAAAATGAAACCAAATCCTATTCAACAAGCAAGAAGATTACATCACTCAGTTTCGATTCCAAAATATCTTGCAAACCAGGATCAGCGAAGTTCACATCTTTCACAGCCAAAAAAAATAAAAAACCCATATAGCTAACCATTAATTATTCATAACGAAAGCTAAAATCTCACAGAATCTACCAAAATTCAATAAAAAAACCCAAACCCCAGAAACAGATCCATCACCAAACCTCAGAAGCCAAAGCGAGTTCAAACACAAAACTCAAAACTAATCAGAATTCAACAAGGTAAAAAAAACAACCCATTAAAATTCAGCAAAAAAAATCAACCCAGAAACAAAAGCAATTCAAAAACAGACCTTAGGCCTCAAATTAGCTTGAAAATCAAACTTCCAATCACGAAAATAAGGAAAAGAAGGTGCCCCACTACGTCCAAGACGAGAACAGTCCGATGATTTGTGAGCTTTAGGCGATAAAACAGATAATTCCATGCCAGGGAAGATCTCATGGTTTTTAATGTGAGACCCTTGTGGGGCCCAACGAGAGTTGGCTGTTGTGGGATCCATCATGAAGCCAGAATTGCCTTTCCATTGGAGGATAAAAGCTAAGGCTGCAAGAGAAAGAGGGAGAAGAGTTAGGAGGAGGATTAGTCTTGAGGTGAAGGATTGAGTGGAGATGGTGGTTGAGGTAGCGGTGGAGGAGCGGAGGGGAGCGTGGAGGTGGTGGCTGGGCATGGTGGTTGAGAGAGAGCGAGAGAGGGATGGAACGGTGAACTGCAGGTAGTTAAGTTATAGTGGAATTTAATTTTTATTTTTGGTGGGAGAGAGTGTTCAATATATATATATATACACACCAAAAATTAAAATTAAAATTCCTCTATGAGTTCACTACCGGCAGTGTGTGTGATTTTAAAAATATATTTATATATTAATTTAAAAATATTTTTAATTGAAAAGATAATAAGGATTTAAATAATATATAATTTAAATATTACACTGCCCTATAATCTTAAAAAACTTAAAAAGATCTTAATACGAATAGATATAGTGTCTAAACTGTGAAAACTTTTATTTTAAAAATAATTTTTGTTTTAAAAATTATTAAATTAATATTTTTTAAGTATTCTATTATGATTTTGATATGTTAATATTAAAAATAAAAATAAAAACTAAATATATATTATTTTAATATATTTCCAATTAAAAATCACTTTTAAAAACTAACATACACCATAAGCAGATAATTTTTTTACTTTTTTTATCTTATAAAAGAAATATAATATATACCTTTAATCAAAGATTATGTCGTGAGCTTGTAGAGATAATTTATAATAAATCTATGTTAAGATATTATAAATTAAAGCTTTTAGTTAAAATTTCCTCTTATATATATATATATATATATATATTAACTTTTTAAAGCACAAAGATGTAATTTATATGTTGATTTTATAATATATAAAATAAAATAGTATTGATTAAAGTTTAAATAAATGAAAACACAAGTAATTTACATATCTTAATTATCAAACAACCTTAAAATTATATCCTCTTTATTGTTTATATATTAATTAATTGATGATATTTCAAGTCATCAATAGAAAATAAAAAAAAGCCTGAAGTCTCCATCAATGCGTTGAAATTTCCTGCTCCTTTTCCTGCTGTTTTTTCAACTCTATTTGTCAATTGTGCATTTTAGCACGTGCATAGTTATAGATTTTAGCATCAACATGTTGTCACACATTGTTCTGAAAGTTAAGCAACCGATTGTTTTAAAGATGAAAGCATGAAAAATTAGATTTATTATTGTTTGTAAACATCTCAAAGTTGTAGTTGCTGTGGATTTGACTAAACATAGCTTTCCTTGATTGCTTACTCCTTTTAACATAACCCCGATCTCTTGCTCTCTGCAAGTAAAAGAATGTCTGCTGGGGAGGTATTTCTTGCAGCATTTGTGGGGATACTGTTTACAAAATTGTCAGCTCCTGGGTTATGGAAGTTTATAAACAAGAAAAGCTTTCAGAAGGAGCTTTGGATTTGTGGGGATACTGTTTACAAAATTGTCAGCTCCTGGGTTATGGAAGTTTATAAACAAGAAAAGCTTTCAGAAGGAGCTTGTGAAGTGGAGAAGAACATGACAAAATGCTTCTGGCAGTGCTCAGTGAAGGAGAAGAGAAGCAACTGACAGACCAGACCGTAAGAATGTGGCTGCATGATCTTAGAAACTTGGCTTATGATGTTGAGGACATACTCGATGAGTTTGCTACTGAAGCCTTGCAACACAAGTTGATGGTGGGAGATCAGGCTAGCACTAGTAGGGTACAAAAACCGGTGACTGCTATCTTCACTAGACTGAATCCAAGTGCCATGAAGTTCCATGGTAGAATGAGATGCAAGATAAGGGGGATCAGTTGTCGGTTGAATGACACTATGACCAAGCTGTGAAACTTGGATCTCCAAAGGAACCCCCAGGGTCCATCTACAAATTTATGGCGAAGAACACAGAGCACGTGTTAGCCAAATGGAGCTGGGATTTTTTGCAGGGATGAAGAAAAGATGAAGATCCTGGAATTGGTGTTACAGAAGGCAACCCGTCACGATGCCAATTTTGATGTCATTCCTATTGTTGGGATGGGAAGCGCGGGAAAGACAACGCTTGCTCAAGTTGTATAACAACCACAAAGCTGCTTACCATTTTAATCCAAAGGTGTGGGTCTGTTTGTCTACCGAGTTCGATGTTATGAGAATAGCAAAGGCAATTCTTGAATCAGTCACCTACAGGCCCTGCGAGCTGAAGGATTTCAATCGAGTCAAGGTCAAACTAAGGGAGGCATTAGCTGGCAAGAGATTTCTCTTGGTTTTAGACAATGTATAGAACAAGAATTATGGTCTGTGGGAAGCCCTGAAATCGCCCTTTGAGGCTGGAGCTCTAGGAAGTAAAATAACAGTGACAACCCGCAGCATGGATGTCGCCTTAACGATTGGATCTGTTGCATATCATTAGTCGTAGCTTCTATTGGAGAATGACATCTGGTCTGTATTTGTGAAACACGTATTAAAGGATGGAGATGCTGGTGAGAATCTGGGGCTAGTTCGAATGAAGGTTGTTCAAAAGCGCTGTGGCTTGCCCATTGGCAGCAAGGACTCTCGGTGGCCTTCAACGCTCTAGTCCAAGAGACGAATGGGAAAAGATACTGGATAGAAAAATATGGAACCAAGTTTGGAGATCCTTGGAAAGGTCCTTCTTAGAAAATTATGAAACTCTTCCACGGAGTTTCCATCTTGGGTTGGAGATCCTTCCTTCTCTAACATGGTGCTTCTAAGTTTGGAGAATTGTGAAATCTGCACATCCGTGCCAGCTCTTGGACTTTTAAAATCGCTCAAGGACCTTTCCATCACTGGGATGAGTGGACTGCAGAGCATAGGTCGTGAGATTTACGGGGAACGCAGCTCAAATCCTTTTCCTTCACGGCAGACTCTTTATTTCAAAGACATGCCTGGATGGAAGTACTGGCATGCCGACGGCGAAGAACAAGTTGAAGTTTTCCCTCGCCTGCATAAGCTTTCTATCTTGAATTTTTCTCAGATATTGGGAAGATTGTCGTTTTATCTTCCTTCATTGGAAGAGCTAGTTATTTGTGAATCCAAGTGCTTGTCGGTTTCTATTTCAATTTTCCGATGCTCCGTAATTTAGATGTTGATGGAAGCAAGGAATGAATCTGCAGAAGCATGACTCAGTTTAGCTCACTCAACTCCGTGGTTCTTTCATGCATTTCAAATTTCAGTTTTCTAACTGAGGGCTTCATGCAAGGGTTGGCAGAAGTTAAGAATTTGAAGATTACTGGTTGCCAGGAGATCACAGATTTTTGGCAAAAATTGGATTACCACAACATCTGAGTTCCTTATGTTATTTGAAAATCAAAAGTTGTCCCAGACTTGTTTCCTTCGGTGCAGAAGAGGAAGGACAAGATCTGAAACTCGACTTGCCTTTCTCTACTGAAATGCTGAAGTTTATTGATTGCGAAAGCCTTCAGTGACCATTAGTTTTGCATGGTCTCAGATTCCTTGAAGAGCTAAATATTGAAAAGTGTGCAGGAATGGTTTCCCTTGTTCAAACCACTTTGCCCTGCTCTCTTAAAAGGCTATACATCAGTTACTGTGATAATTTGCAGTGTTTGCTGGAGGAGGGAAAGGATGCTAACATTAGCAGCACATCTCTTCTTGAGTACTTGGATATCAGGAATTGTCCATCTCTCAAGTGCTTATCGTCAAGAGGAAAATTACCTGCTCCTCCTTGACAGCTTGTGATTTGGGACTGTCCAGAACTGGGTTCAATAGCTGAGACATTTTGCAACATGTCTCCTGAACAAATCGAGATCAAATATTGTGGAAAACTCGCTTGCTTACCCGAGGGTCTGAACATGCTCAGTCATCTTCAGGAGAACACTATATGTTACTGTTCAAGTATACTTTCGTTCCCTGAAGGAGGGTTTCCTGCCACCAGTCTGCGAAAGCTCTCCATGGGCTGGTGCGAGAAAGATTGCGAATTCTCACCTCTCTTGTAGAGTTGGATATTCATACACGCCCGAGCATTGTGTCTTTCCCACAAGAGGGTTTCCCAACAAACTTGACATCACTTCTGATCACAAATCTCAACTTCTGTAAGCCTCTCTTTGACTGGGGATTACACAGACTTGCCTCTCTTACTCGCCTCTTCATTACAGCCGGATGTGCACATATTTTGTCTTTTCCATGTGAGGAGACAGGAATGATGCTGTCAACTTCTCTATCCAGTCTGTCCATTGTAAATTTCCCGAATCTCCAATAATTATCCTCCAATGGTTTCCAGAACCTCACCTTCCTTCAAGAGCTTTGGATCTCTGATTGCCCAATGCTCAAATCCCTACCACAAAATGGCTTGCCTTCCTCACTTTTGGAACTATACATCCATGTCTGTCCTGTACTAAAACAGAAGTGCAAAAAGGATACAGGGAAAGAGTTTTCCAAAATAGCCCAAATCCCTTGCGTGTATATTGATAACAGCTTCATTAACGATTCAGAGAATGAAGAATGAACACCATTTCATCTCAGAAGAGAGCAACAGCATAGAAGCTGATATTTGCCTCCTCCTATTCTTGTATTCAACCCAGTATGTCTGTCGCTGCAAGTACACATATTTATCAGCATTAAGCTATCATTTTCTTCCATGATGATAGATGTCAATTAAACCTCAAGGAATTGAACAGAAAACAGTATAAGATGATGAAAAATGGAAGGAATCCATTTTTATCTTGTTTTATATACTCTGAAATTTAAAGTAGATATTTCCCTGTATTTGAAAATTGATACTAGACTTTATTCTTTCATTGTCCAAAAAACAGGCACTCAGAGCCTGCTAGCATAATATGAAGATCAATCATGTAAATGGCAGAATAATGATTGTCTAATCATGATGTAAAAAAAAAGGGGGGGGTTTCCAGATCTTCTGAGCTCCTGTAAGTTGATAATGGCCATCTCGATTATCTTTGTGAGCCATAAGTCCTGGTCCTGCCAGTGGTTTTCCAGATATGAATATATTCAGAAGGAAATGCAGATGCTTCCTAGTTCCCATCACCATTCCATAATCTTGGATTTTCATGCCTCTAGTCCATAGATGCCCTACCTTTGCAGTCATGAACTTTCGGTGCTGGCTGGTAAAAGTTTCTGTTGCTACATGGATGTTAAAGGTTACTCTAACTCTGCAACGACTGAAGGTGGGGCAGACTAATCCATGAAGAGTTTTATCATTTGTATAGATCCATTACTGTGAAGGCACAGA